TCTAGGTCAAAGTCTTCCCCCCAAAAAGGCTGATGCAAAGATTCCTAAACTGCACGTCTCTAACGATTCCTTTGCCACCCCAGACCATCGCTTTTCTCACAACAGGATCGATCGGCTCCTCTCCCAAGAGTGGCTCTTCAGACCTCGCCGAGAACCCAACAGGATTCATTCATTCTGGTTGAATGTCAACTTCACTCTTCGGTCATTCCAGCTCTTTTAAGTTATTATTCTCTCTCTCTCTCTCTCTCTCTCTCGTATTTACCCATAAATTATCTTCGGTCATTCCCGCTCTTTTAAGTTATTATTGTCTCTCTCTCTTTCTCGTATTTACCCATAAATTATCTTCGGTCATTCCCGCTCTTTTAAGTTATTATTGTCTTTCAATCCTCGGCTTCGTCTACATTATCTTCGGTCATTCCCGCTCTTTTAAGTTATTAATGTCTTTCAATTCTTGGCTTCGTCTAAATTATCTTCGGTCATTCCCCTCTTTCATGTTCTATTATTAAGTCTTTCAATCCTTGGCTTCGTCTAAATTATCTTCGGTCATTCCCGCTCTTTCATGTTCTATTATTTCTTTCAATCCTTGGCTTCGTCTAAATTATCTTCGGTCATTCCCCTCTTTCATGTTCTATTATTAAGTCTTTCAATCCTTGGCTTCGTCTAAATTATCTTCGGTCATTCCGCTCTTTTTATTAATGTCTTTCAATCTTGGCTTCGTCTAAATTATCTTCGGTCATTCCCCTCTTTCGTCTATTATCTTTCAATCCTTGGCTTCGTCTAAATTATCTTCGGTCATTCTTTTCATGTTCTATTCTTCTAAGTTATTATCAAGTCTTTCAATCCTTGGCTTCGTCTAAATTATCTTCGGTCATTCCCGCTCTTTTAAGTTATTATTGTCTTTCAATCCTTGGCTTCGTCTAAATTATCTTCGGTCATTCCCGCTCTTTTAAGTTCTATTATTAAGTCTTTCAATCCTTGGCTTCGTCTAAATTATCTTCGGTCATTCCGCTCTTTCAAGTTCTATTATTATTGTCTTTCAATCCTTGGCTTCGTCTAAATTATTTTATCGTGTTATGTTTTGTTCGTTTTTCAGATCCTGTACCAATGGTTTTCGGATTATGGTCGTTATTATTTGTTTTCTGTTAATAAGGCGTTTCCCTCTCTCATTCTGAAAAGCGTAGTAGTCAATGAAATGGTAATTGTTCTAGATGCAAATAGGATGAAATACACTCATTTGATATCAATTCTCCCTGTGAATTACGTATCCAATGATTATGGTTAAACTTATGATCTAAATTAAAAAGTAATAATAAACTTCATGGTCCTTGTGAATCACCATTAAAGATTGTAAATTCTGTTCCTATGTTCGCTTCTTGTCAGTTGTATGAAACAAACAAATATTATCAGGCCATTAATTTGTGCTTTTATTTTTGAAGAATGTTTTCTTATTCGTAATTTTCTTCCATCTTGTTTTTTTCTCCCCCTCTTCGTAATAATCGTTCGTGCTTCCTTATTGCAATTCTCTTTCCTGTATTTTTGTCTTTGTTTATACTTTCTAGAACATCCGTTACAATAACCTACCGTATGTTGTTTTTTTTCTTTTCTTTTTAAATTCTTTATTACTGTTTCGTGCATTTCACTTATCGCCTTTTTCTGTACACACCGTTTTCCTTTTTAGTCTGTAATTGGCATTTAATTACACCGTCCCCTTACCCTCGTCTTTTAATCATTCTATTTATTCTCATTACGTTTTCCTTCCTTCTTTTTCCTAATTGTTTTATCTTTTTATGTTTTGTTTTTCTTTTTCATTTCCATAACTGCATCTTAAATTTTGTTTTTTTCTTCTACTGGATCTATATCTTTGGATTGTTCTTCTGTGCACAACTTTACGATTTCCATCTTCTATTCCTTCTTTTCCTTGCTGTGGTTTTCTCTCTTGCATTATTTTCTCTTTGTTCTTTTCTCCCCCTAACCGTCTTTCTCTACCGCCTCCCTCCCCCATCTTTCTCACTTGCCCTATCTCTCCTTTTTATTTTTATCCGCAACGTAGAGTCTCCTCCGTTTCCAAATTCATTGATCAGCGTTTTTGAATCATGGTTCGACTCTTTCCCGAAACACACTTCTCTTACCCGTATTGGGATGTGTTTCGGATCCGGGAGTCGAAGCTGGTGGTTCACACAGTGCCTAGCTTGGAGGGGTTGGGGCTTTGCTCTTCATAGTATCTCTTTTCTCCATACTTTTTTGGCCATATGTAATTTTCCTTTCTATTTCCTTCTTAGGCGAGACATTATTTTTATTTTCTTTACTCGTTTTCTTTACTAATTCCTTCGCTTATTTCGTTTCATGTTATACCTCTTTTTCCTTTTCTTTTTGGACCAGCTGTTTCTCTTTATTCTCTCCTCTCATATTCCCTTCCACCAAGCCGTCTATTCACGGTTTCTCCATCTTTTTCCCTTTTTCTTTTTCTTTTCTTTATCCCCCTCCTCCTTAATCGCCGTCC